GAGAGGCGGCGGCCGGTGCCTGCGCGGGGGTGTGGGGATGGTGGTGGGGTGTGTGTGGAAGGCAGCTCTCTTCTGGCTGGGTTTTTGGCATTCTCCCTTTCCTGAGGAATGAGTGTCTAGGGAGCGCTGTGCTGCGGTCTTGAGGCATTGCTTCTTGAGGGGCTCTTTGAACCAGGCAAGGGGCACTGGGAGAGGTGCTGTAGCTTATTAACGTAACCGATGCAGGTACGAGGACCCAGGCAACAAAAGCCTTTTCACCTGAGGCAGCTCTTCGGGAGGATGTCACTTCCCCTAAACTTGCTCGTTTTTCAGCTTTCTCTGCTGAAGTGCGTGTGTGATAGAGATCTGAATAGTGGATTTATGGTACAGAAAAACAGCTGGAGAATAGAAAGGAACTCTAGTACATCTGAACGTTTTATAATCTCTGTAATGCTTCGGTGAAACTTACTGGATCCTATTTGACTTTGATAGGCATTTGCTCTGCATCCTGTGGGAGATAACGGTGTATTTATTGCTTGTAACTTGCACAGTAAGACCCAGCCCTCGCCAGGATCAGTACAACTTGGTAGGTGTTTTTTGCTGAATTTTGGAGCAAAATTTTGGCCAATGTGGGTGAGCTTTGGGTTGCCTACCTGCATAGTTGTATGTTTGACTCTGGGTCTTCAGTTAGTTGAATATTTGTGTAATTGTTCTTGTGTGCAATCCCTTGTGCTTCAGTGGCACAGATGAATGTATGTGCAGATTTGGTAGCTCAGAGCTTGTGTTTCCTAAATTTAGATGAAGAGGTTAGGGAGCGTGTGGAAGGCATATAAGGAGTTCACAGCTCTAAAGGCCAGGGGAAAACTAAAACCTTTATCTGCAGAGGAACAGGAGTAATGAACTGTGTTGTCATACAGTACTCCTGTGCTGTGCAGGTGTGATGAGCAGTGTAGATATCTGGGAGGCTATCCAAAGAATCATGGTGCTGTTATTCATTGCATTTCTCTCTGCTCTCATGTAAAGGTGTTCTGAAGGAATGAGCCTGTGCTATATTGACAGGCAATACATCCTTTCTTTATGACTTAAAAAAAAAAAAAAATGTCTTTGGGGGTGTTGGGGGGGGGGGGGCTGTATGTGCTTCCATATGTGGCTCTTCCACCTTTGCTGGTCTGTCGTTGGACTTGTATGCAGTGAAAAAGACTATAATTCAGATTACAAAGAGCAGGGAACAAACAGTATTACAGACACTGTGGTGCTTTAGTTTCATCAGCACCGAATCATTAAGGTAAATTTAGAACCAAACTACCAACTATAGTTGTAATATTAATATGCCACCCTTTACTACTGTGTAATCTGGGGACTGTTTTAAAAAAAATAAATATTTAATTTAAATCACTTCATTTGACATAAAGAATGTGTTGGGTTTGACCACGAATGAGGAAACAGCTTGGAGCACTTGAGAGCATAAGTGGAACAGTACAGCTGTCGAAAGAAGTGTCTTGCATAATACTCCTTAGCTGCTTTGCTTTTTCTGTTTTGCCCGAGATCCTAGTTTCAGCATCACTGCATTCAGGTTTTGGGGTTGTCTTTTTTTTTTTTCTTTCTGGTTTTCTTTTTGCTGAAGATGGTTGGCTTTATTTTGTGATTTTTAGATAAGTTTTGGGTTTTTTCTAGCTGTTCTGCATTAAACAGTTACACTTTGTTTAAATGTGGTTTGCTAAGGTTAAGTTGTCTGCAGAGTGTTTGCCTACAAGGATAGTGTGCTTTCGGTAGTGCTTTGTTGCTACCACCCATTCACTGTTTGAGCAGGATCTCGGGTGTTTGATCTGTAGTATTTTGGCTGTTGGGAAGACTTGCAGTCATTTGGCTGCTGCTTGTATTCCAGCCTGTCATACATAAAGCTTGCTGGGTTTCAGAGGGCTTAGAGCAAGGCCAGCGGGATCCGGGAAGTCTTAGGTCAGTGATGCCAAATGCTATTGCTGTTCCTGCTTCGCTCAAATTTGTGGTAGGTGGAAAATCTTACTTGTGGTAGGCACATTTCCTTCTCACCTTGTCTGTTGAAGATGTTGAGAAGATGGCCAGGTTCATGGCCAGGTTCATGCCCAGGCTTTGGGACTGTGGTGAAGAGTCTTGATTAGGTACAATACTTACACTGTTTTATGTAAGAGGAGATAGTGAGATGACTCCTTTATCTCTTTTATGTGGTTTCTTTTTCTCTTTAAACAGGGATGTCAGTATATTTTTCTTGGCTAAGAGTTAGCACCCTGAAGTTGCCTGTAGGTGCTGTTTTTACAATTAACACCTGTAGGTGCTGTTTTTACAATTCCCTGAAACATCAATGGATGTACTCAGTTGTAAATACGCAAGTAGTTTTTATGTGAGACTGCTTAGCTAAGACAAGTCTATGCAGGCTGGAACAATGATACTGTAATCTATAGATTTCATCGTCATATTTTAATTTGATTTTCAAAGCTTTGTACTGTTGTACTATACTGAATACTAATATTTTTATTTTTATTTTAGAGTTGCTACACAGATTTACAATAAAACTGGAATTTAACCAGTTATGGAGCTGGCTCATAGTTTGTTGCTGAACGAGGAAGCGTTAGCTCAAATCACAGAAGCAAAGAGACCGGTCTTTATCTTTGAGTGGTTAAGATTTTTGGATAAAGTGCTGGTAGCTGCTAACAAGGTAATTTAATGTTGTTTTCCCCTTCTTTCTAAAACATTTGTATTAATTTCAGTCTAGAGAAAGTTGGCAGGTAATGGCCAGGTGACAACTGTATGATTTCAGATTCAGCCTGCAGAGCCTCTCTATTAGTTTGTGGCTTTTAAGTGTTTAATTGTAGGTGGTCAGTATGACTCTGTTATATAACATGTGGCTTGATTTGAGTTCTTCAGTGTTGTAAGTATTTGGAAGGCAAAACCTTCCCTCACAGAGCAGGGATTCTTGATATTAAAGAGGATTAAAAGATGTTCTAGGCAGGTATTACTGTATTTTTAGTAAGTATTTTTAAAAAGTAAAAATTAAATAGGGTAACAGCTAATTCTGAGCATTTGACATCTCTCTGCTATTGAATGTACTTCAAATCTCTGTGAGACAAGCAATTTGCTGAATTACATACAAGTGGGAGTGGTATGAGATTTACTTCAATCTCTTGTAGGTTTTTCTGAGTGTTGGAGGCAAGACACAGAATAAAATTACTTTTATTTTTTATTAATTTTTGGTCCATTAACAGACAGATGTCAAGGAAAAACAGAAGAAACTTGTAGAACAGCTAACAGGACTCATCAGCAGTTCCCCTGGGCCACCTACGCGAAAACTACTAGCAAAAAATCTTGCTGCTCTCTACAGCATTGGAGACACGTTTACTGTTTTTCAGACGCTTGACAAGTGTAATGACATCATCAAGAGCAAAGATGATACTGCAGCCTACCTGCCTACAAAACTGTATGTCTAATATTATTAGGGAAAGGGGAATGATTTTTAAGCAAAGAAACTGCCTGTATGTGTGGATGTTATGTTTACTTGTATTTTGCATGCTTAGCTGAAGTTTACACATACTTGATATATAGCAGTGAAAAGAGCAGGATTGAGATTGTGGAGGGCTGGACTCAAAGGTGACACATACACTGCTATTGTAAAGTGAGATGCTTTCCTCTAGGCAAGGGGGTATCTTACGTTTCTTCACAAGTTTATGTCATGGAGAGGATAACAGTTGATGAAGTAATGCAATGAAGAAATTCCACTGGTGGGATTATTGCTGATTGGGCTCAGGTACCCCATTTAAGATGGAACCTGCAGATTGTCAAACAAGAGCATTATCTGTGCCAAGAGAATTTTAACCAAATGCTCAAGTTTTGTTTTGGTTTGGGTTTTTTTCCATTCAAAACACACCTGTTTATATTCCCCTACTGTGATACATTGCACAAGTTTCTCAAACAGAGTCCGTACACTTAGATGTGTCTGTGCATTATGTGTGGTACAGTTTGTCTTTATGTATAGGAGCAGTCTTGCTGATAGGAATTTGGTTAGTGCCACAAACAGCATCCACTGAAACTGTTTTTAGCGCTTTCCTAAACATACTGCTTCATCTGTTCACAATGTCTAGTGAACTCCAGTTTGTGCTTGCCTTCAGACATTATCTTAACAATGGGATTTAACAATAAAATCTGAAATAGTCACCATTTGGGCAGAAACTGCCCTCCTTTTATTTGAAGCTGTTGCTGCTCTGTGAGGGACTTGTGTAAGT